AATTTTAGGACTCTGATATAATGGCCTCATCAATAGAAACTAATAGAGTCTTACTTGACGATAGCTTAATAATCGCTGATACAGAACCCACTCAAGAGGTTATAACTGCGCCTGTCCCAGCTCACCTAGATGCAGCCAAATCAACTTCTACTCACTCTCCCTGTACAGATAGAGCATCTCATTCTTCTAACTGTTGTGAAAATCCTGTCTTCATTCCTTATATTTCGATCTCCGAGAAAGTTACGATATCTCAATCTGATACACATTCATCTTCTGTTTGTAATTATTCGCTCTTGAAGAGGTCTAGCAATAACCCTGATGAATCAGTAAATATTCTTGGTTTTCCTCATTTTGACTCTTGTCCTAAGAAATTAGATACGATTGTTGCCACTTCTCCAACTTCAATCCAGCTTATTGCATCCAAGACTACCGCTAATACTCTTGTTATCCTTCATGCAAGTAATCTCCCCCACTCTGAATCTTTCGTTTCTTCCGTCCGCACAGACCAGCCATCTCAGCTTTCAGCATCGGAGCCTGTCGTTCAATTAAATCTCAATCCTTCAATTCAAACAGCTACAAATTCTGCTGGACTTAAGCCCTCATCTACCCTCGAAAGTTCTCAATCACAAGGTCCTATCTTGAACGACTGCACTGCTTCTTTAAAACGAATCGAAAGGGTTACATTTCCTCATGCTTACTCTCTTTCCTCCACTCCAGTCCAGTTAATTCCTGATAAGCTCTTAACTTCACCCCCTTCAACTAGTCCGATTTTAAAACATCCCAATGAATCTGCCTCCCAGTTTTCTCGATTTCACAGTCCTAACAAGTCTGATCAGCTCTCTTTCCGTCTGGGATCAGAAGAGGCCGCTAGATGCTTTCCTTTATCAGCTTCTCCCCATGAAAGTCTAAATCAGAGTGCTGAGCCTAAGATGGTTTTACTTCAATCACCTAGTCTTGAGATAAGCTCATTGTTGATTTCTGATATGACTAAGTCTATCAGTAAAAAGGGTCCAAATGCGAATCCATCGACCCTTCAGAATAATAAGGAATCAGAAATGCCCGGCTTTGGTAGCTCTTGTGACGAGAATGAAGGCTCACCCGAAATCACTGATTTGGCATACTCGAAGTTGGGTCAATGTGATAACAAAGCTCAAGGATGTGAAGAAAAGGTATGTTCTTGCATATTAGTATCTTCTGGCGGTCACGCGTCAAATTTCTTTTTTTTGCGGCTTAGAAAATCTTCCTTATATAGTTTTCATCAAACTAGAGTGCAACAAGTCGGTCTCCAGAAAACA